ACTAATCTAAATACGTTTTTTTAAATTTTATTTGTTTTTCTATAGATATAAAACAAATTTGATTCAATTATTTTTCTTGTTTACTTGACATAACCACATCAAATGCATATTTCATACTGAAATAACGATGGTTATTAAAACTTAGTAAAATATAATTCAGTTATAATACTATGTATATGTAACTTGTACGTACGATAATACTAATTATATCGATCCAATAAAAATCTACTGTTATATCTTACCTATATAACTATTATATTTGACATTGTTGATGCTATAAAATGTATAATAGTATTACCTACGACTTACGAGGTATTTATACGTATAACTATTGGTATATAATAATAGATAAATTGATTAATATGAGGAAATAAATATTTTAATATTGAGATTTATATAATATGCTCGAATTATTTCATTTTCTTTTTGGAATTTGTTGTCTATCAAAAACATAATATATAAGGCTTAGGTACATTCTTTTCCACCTCACGTTTTTAATTTTGATACTTATAATATATAACCAGGATCGTGTTGAAGAAAATAGTAATCAAATTTTGTATAATGGAATTACACAATGTAAATTAATTTGTAATATAGAAATTTAAAAACATTGTTGGTGACTTATAACGTTTTTCCTCTAGTAATGATCATGGACTTTGTGTTGAACAATCAATTTTGAAAAAAAACTGAGTAATGACTTGGAGTTTTGTCATAATAATGCACAATAGCATAAATGTTTTAAATTGACTTTGACCTCGGTGTGGTGGTAAACATACCTTAAACCAATCGCTTAAAACGCCAAACATTGTACTGTTGTTTTGCATCAATATTCAATGTAAGTTCATGCTGATAAGCGACGATAATCAGCAAATTATATATCGGAAATGGAATAATGGAATTGCAATTATTTTGTGTAATATTCAAGTATTTATATTATATATAATGGGTTCACCGTAAATTGCAGTACATATTTAATTGCTATGTCTTTGGTAGCCGATAATTAATATAATAATATGAAAACAATTACTTTATCTATGAACTAATCCTAAATTCCTAAATGATTTATTAAAATTTTATTCCCAAACGCATCATTAAGGATATCATTTAGAAAATTCAAAATATATATAATGATTCACTATACTATAGATAGTTTGATGATTGTATAGCGAAATGAAAATAATCTTTATTTAGTAGGTATAAAACAAAGTTTTATTATTAAACCGTTATATTGGAAATTTGGAGAATGGTTTCATATAGATAAGATATTGCTTGTACAACTACTGACAAACACAGACAATTCACATATTTCATCCTCTACAAAATATTTATTTAAATAATTACCACCTCTTATAATAAATTATATTAACTATATATATTATAGTATGTATTATAATAATATTTCAATTTTAACTGAAATTTATAATATATTTATTATTTAATTTCTTTGATGCTACATTTCTAAGTGCATAAATGAAACTTTAAGTGTAATTTTCAATATTTGAATATTATTTATAATAACTAATAAGCTTATAATTTGATTCTCCCACCTCACACTTATTCAAAACACTTAGATTATTGTGCATTCCCGTATAATACCTTAACCTAAAGTACTTATAACAGTTATAACAGGTACTTTACATTTATATTAGTATTCAATCTACATAAAGGAGAAAATAAAATTATATTTAGAGAAGGTTATGCGATGAATATTATTATTTTATGTATTGCTGCCTTAACTACGATAACCGGTAACCGGAATCCACGCGTGTTTTATTATTGATTATTTTTCCCGACAATTTTCCATAACGGATATTCATGGCTTGCTGCTGTAAATGTACTAAAGGTATATAATTAAGAATCAACTCATATACAAGTACAATAAGAGCAATTATTTGCGATTTTTAAGAGTAGGTATATTGAAATATATACTTGTGTAAATATTACACCTATATGAAAACAACATTATTAGTATGTAAAAAATTGACATATTCAAATGGTAGTTTGTTGTAAAAAATAAATTATCAAACATAATTGAAGCAGCCCAGTGACATGGTTTGTGTTTATTTCCCAAATTGTTCACCACACGCGGGACGTGTTTTACACTCCGCAAACACCGTTGACCGTACATGTAGTTAAATTACCCTCTAAATAGTAAATACTCACCCAAGTTATATACATAATTTACATAGATAGTGATTCTTTTAACACAGTTCGCTCGTTTATCGCTGTCGATTTCTACAGGGTTTGTATGTGCAAAGTATTTATGTTTTAAGTATTTTACAAACAACTTTTTTCATCAAGTCTCAAAAATCTTATGCATAAATAATAAATATATTGCACCAAATTAATGTCAATAATACATTGTACAGTTGTAGTTTTTTACTAGTTGGCATAAAGTTTATAAATGTAATTTCAGTGTATAAATGAGTGGAGTTCAATCTCCTTTACTGTTTTTAATATTTCAATTGCTATACTTCTATTTTAATATTCAATGTATCTATAATTTTAATATATAATATACCAACGTTAACGTTTTCTTAAAAAAATGTAAAAACTTTTGCTCCAAAATATGGGTTAGGTTTTTATAATTGAGTATAGGTACTAATAAAAAATGAAGAAAACTTAAAATATAATCCTAAATATCCAGTCAAGTTTGGTCGGTCAACTCTTAAACGGACAATGGAGGACGGACACCGGTATATATGAAAAGTGAATGCTGATGTCGAACCTCTCCGTAGATAGGCTGACCGCGTGACCACAACGTAGAATTATTGTAACAATAATCGTTTATACAATTGCTGATCTATCGTTTTTATATAATATATATATATGTATGCTCCACAGTCTCCTTAGACTCTCCTATATAAAGAGACTCGTATAGAACTGTAAATAATAAATATTGACGTGAAGTTATATAGAAAGTAAGATTTGTATTTTGATTGTTGTAAGTACACTAACTACTATATTACAACTGCCTAAGCAACTAGTTCGAAATCGTTTAGTCATATTTTCTCCAATTCAAATATTCCCGTTATCGTTTGCATTATATTGTATACGGTATTGGGTATACCTACACTAAAACAAATTCAATCTCGACTTGTGTTGATTTTAATGCAGCCGCGTGCCCGCCTAATAATATCTCGAATAATATGTTATCGTTTTATAATATATTAATGTATATTATTATACTTTTCGCGTTCATTACTGCAATAACAACTGAAATTAATTTAATTTCACTAAATTTAATCAAGGATTCAAATTTGTACTTCGAATTTTAGTTATACTTTTACCACGGATAATATAGAATCTACTGTCCCAATACTAAAATAACAATTATAAGTAGGTCACAATAAGTCACATCTGTTAATTATATCTACATTAATATAGTTTAAATCATTGATCTAGATTCTAAACAAACACATTTTTTTAAACATACGAGTAAAACATCGTCCCTACTAATAATATACAACGTTTATGATATTATTTTTTTCATTAATTTAATATACCTAATATTATTATGTAAGGATAAGTTATTAATTTAAAAATGCATGTAAATATAAATTATAAGTTATAACATTTACCTTGTTGTATGATATTTATTAATGTGGACGTACTATACGTTTATTCTTTAACTATTTGATGAAAAATGTTTGAAATGCGATATGATATAAAACATATATAATATGTAATATGTAATATAATATTTGTATCTTAAAATGTTAAATTAGGAATAAACTATAGTATTATATTATTACGATTATACGGGGTGATTTTATAAGCATACTCATTACTCACCACCATTTTCTCATTAATAGTGCATTCATTTAAATTCGGGTTTTCAGAAGTTATAGTTACCTAAAGAAAATATTTTCATATTTATGTTATTTTTTGTGCTACTTAAAGAGTTATCTGTGGCAATACAAACTTCTTTTTTTCAAATCCCTCCTTTTTTACTGTTGATTAATAATTTAATTAATTGATGGGTTCTTGAAAATTGTAATGTAAGTATCTAAATCAAAATTCTAATGAGTGGTTTCTAAGTTATTCAAAAGTTTATACTAAGGATAATAATCCTTCAAAATGGTTTAGCAAAAATATAAACTATTTACTATATGTAGTTACAAATTATTTATATGTGTCGATCAATAGTAATTACCAGCATTTTTAAATCATCTAAGCACCATATCCACTTAACTCATTACCATTGACATAATATTATCCTTAGTATACAAAGTTATTTAAGTCAAAAACTATTCTCTAGTATTTTGATTTAGATAGGTAGGTGCATTAAAATTCTCAAAAACAATATCTGGTAATAATTAAAAGTGAAAATGGGGAGGGGATATCCTTTTAAAAAAAAACAGAAGTTCATATTGTCACAGGATCATACCTCAAGTGGTACAAAAATGTCAAGTATTTGATAATTTAGTCTTCAAGTGTATTTAAAAATTACAAAAATCAGAAATTGAATATATCAGCTGAATTCGCAATTATTGTAAGTCCAAAATAGTACGTAAACTTACAGAAGAGGAAAAAATGTTTAGACTATTTCTTCGGCTATTTCCCTAATTTGCAAAGGTCGTATCACCATCATTTATTACATTTGAGTACGATTTTTTCTAATTCTGAAAATCATTACATCAGAGATACGACGATTTCTAATTATCAATTTCATGAAGGATAAAATTATAACATTGGATTTATGACTTTATCATATTATGACGTCATTACGATGTGTTTTTTTCTCCATTTAAATCATAAATCATCCCAAAATTGAAAAAAATGGAGTTAAATAATTGCGAATTAAGCGGACGATATGCATAATTTAAGGATAAAAATAGTGTGAGCATGCTTAAAAAATCACTGTATAAATAAAAACTTAGAAAATGGTATGCTTTGTCGGACTTTTAATTATCTATATACATAATAATAAGTTATATTATATTTTTAGAATGCGATTGTGGCCAATGATTAATAACTCGCGATTTCATTGTTTTCAGACCTTTACGGCATGGTGCAACTCGCACTTGCGCAAAGCAGGCACAGCCATCGAGAACATTGAAGAGGACTTCCGCAACGGGCTCAAACTCATGTTGCTCCTCGAAGTGATTTCTGGCGAGACGTTACCAAAACCCGATAGAGGTAAAATGCGCTTCCACAAGATTGCCAATGTCAACAAAGCACTAGACTTCATAGCCAGCAAGGGCGTGAAATTGGTATCGATCGGTGCAGAAGGTACGATAACTATAATATATTATATAATACTGTATTATACGGCCCCGCCTCCCCGGATGTTGATCAAGCTAAGAGAAAATAACTTTAAAAGCTGTATTTATTAGTAATAGTATGATTTTTCTGGAATTAAACATACATTGCGTTTGGTGGTTGGAAAAGAGTATTTTAGTGCGTTCAGAAAAAAATTCATTGCTCGTCGACATCCGTCTGGGTTTATAATTGTCAATCATATACGTTGTTTAATATTTGCAGACCGGCCGTTTAGTGTCTACAATATTATTGTGGTGTACCTATCTTCTAATCGTTAATATGTACCCATTTGTAGAAATTGTTGATGGAAATTTAAAAATGACTCTGGGTATGATATGGACGATCATCTTGAGGTTCGCCATCCAAGACATATCCGTGGAGGAGATGACTGCCAAGGAGGGTCTGTTGCTGTGGTGCCAACGCAAGACAGCCCCGTACAAGAACGTCAACGTGCAAAACTTCCATCTCAGGTGCGTTTTGTGCAAGTCGATTGCAATAGTACCAGTTATACTATTTTTCTTCATATTTTAAGGGCGCAAAAGTGGAATATTTCATGATTTTTTGGTGCATATCTGCATCATATTTTAAGTTTATCATGGACATGCGAGTCCTCAGTGGCGTATCCAGGGGGGTAGGGGGGGTTGTAACATTGGTTTACACCCCCCCCCCGATTTTTTTTAAAAATAATATTAATTTTAACACCCCTGGAAAAATTCTAGATACGCCACTGCGAATCCGTCCTCTAAATTATAAATAATTTAAATATTTAATTATTGTTTCTTACACCGGCCATATTTTCATTCCAGTTTCAAGGATGGTTTGGCCTTCTGCGCCCTCATTCACCGTCACCGCCCCGATCTCATCGATTACCATAAGCTGTCTAAGGACAATCCCCTGCAGAATTTGAATACTGCGTTCGATGTCGCCGAGAAGTACTTGGACATACCTCGCATGTTGGACCCTGAAGGTACGTACTGCTAGTTCGTTATCGTATAATTTTGCGTAACAAGACATTATATAATTAATACATATTATATTACTATTGTGACTTATAGTATATACTTCGTCGTGTCCCCTGTGCCCCTCCCAATAATATTAATATTACCATCGTCATCGGCGCCATTTTCGTCTTGTTACCAGTAGTAACACCCGTGCACTTATCGCGATGTTATATTTATATGTTTTAAATGAAAACTTTTCACGGTCGTGTTTTCTGTAGATTTGATAAATACTCCGAAACCGGACGAACGCGCGATCATGACCTATGTGTCGTGTTATTACCACGCATTCCAAGGGGCGCAACAGGTAAAAACGCGTGTACATCCCGCTTTTGTCCCGTGTAAACCAAACACTAACAAACTCTCAATAATAATAAACGTCTGCGTTTTGTGTGATAGTTAAATAATTATTAATTTTAGAATACTTTTTATTTCCTTGGGGTATATTATATTATATGCCAATAATTGTCAATATACAATACTATATATTATATATCGACGAATCAAGCATAAAACGATTCTTCGCAAATATCTAAATATCTAATTATATTATGATTGTGTACATGCCTTAAACATTTTACAACTGTCTCGTTATTAATGAAAACAAAAATTATTTTTGTAATATCTACTAATAATTTGTAAAAACTAAATGGCGTCGTTTGAATTTTTTTTTAAAATTAATATGTTCACGCAGGTCTACAATTTGAAGATTTTAGCATGCCACATACTTATTACGTACCTATAACAAGTAATTCACAATAAAAAAAATACCAAAAATATAATTAATTTTAAATTACAGATGATAATAATATAATAACGTTAATAATATGGTATTTATTTAAATTGTAAGCAAAATTTATTGTTATAATATAATAAAATTATTTTAAAGTACAGGTAACTAACATAAATTTGTAGTGTAAACTCGTCATTAGACATTTTAGGAGATCAAGATAGTGTATTAGTGATTGATGATAAAAGTCCATTATTGATATAATAATTACATAGGTAATACAAAATTAATTTTAAGAACTGCAGAAAACATTAATGAACTAGCATAAAAACGAAAAATTGGGAGCCTAATAAAATAAAATTGAGTACTCTTTTTGAATACCACTCGTGAACATACGAACAATACTATTGTTTATAATTTACTTAACACTAAATTAAAATTTTGATTGCTTTTGAGTTTTGAGTGAATCTAACATGCGCATGTTTGTTATAACATTGATAGATATGACCAATACGGCAATGCCAGACGAAAGAGCCATAATGACTTATGTTTCATCGTATTACCATTGCTTTTCTGGAGCCCAGAAGGTAATTGTGCCTTTTACCTTTATAGCTTTTTGTGACTAATATCTTAAGAGAATGTCAGTGCACCATTTGTTTTCTCTCTCCGGCCCACTGGTTACATATAACATTTCTGTTGAACAAAACCAACCCTGTGTTATTACTTTTAATAATAGAGTGAATTCACCTATTATCAAACTTTAAGCTAAGAACATTGAAACCTGTGTCCATACTTTGGCTATTTTATTATATTTTTATTTTTATAAGTTTTGTGGTTGTAAATTATTACAATTTAATAATGTTTATAAATTGTATACAAATTAAAATATTCTTAAAAAGCCAACGTAGGGTCACAGATAAAGTCCTTACGGTGCTAAACGATACTGCTAAACGTAAATTTGCCATGTTGCACGTGGGTCGGAGAGCGAAAACAAATGTCACTCTGGCATCCTCTTAACGGAATTATGAATTACGTTGTATAATTTTGGATGTCTTATAGGCCGAGACCGCAGCAAACAGAATTTGCAAAGTACTAAAAGTGAATCAAGAGAACGAACGTTTGATGGAGGAATACGAACGTTTGGCTAGTGATGTGAGTATATTATTTACAAGTTAAGACTGTTGGGGAAGATCAAAATTTGTTGACGTTCTATTTTAATCCATATGTTTTTTTAGCTTCTGGAATGGATCAGGCGTACATTGCCGTGGTTGCAGAGCCGACAGGCTGACAATTCATTGTCCGGTGTGCAGAAAAGGCTCGAAGAATACCGCACTTACAGACGTAAACATAAGCCCCCACGCGTAGAACAGAAAGCCAAGCTTGAGACAAACTTTAACACGCTGCAAACAAAATTGCGTTTATCCAACAGGCCTGCATACATGCCAACTGAAGGAAAAATGGTTTCCGTGAGTAAAAGTCCATTTAGTCTTAATTTTTTTCTCTCCCCTTCTTTACAAAAACACTGATTGACTATCATTGTTGTAAATTGAATTTTCTAGGACATTGCCAATGCATGGAAAGGTCTTGAACAGTCAGAAAAGTCATTTGAAGATTGGCTGTTGTCCGAAATGATGAGATTAGAACGTTTAGAACATTTGGCACAAAAGTTCAAAGCAAAGGCTGACACTCACGAAGATTGGACACGTGGCAAAGAAGAGATGTTGCAGAGCTCTGACTTCAGGCAATGCAAGCTAAATGATCTGAAGGCTTTGAAAAAGAAACATGAAGCTTTTGAGAGTGACTTAGCTGCACATCAAGACAGAGTCGAGCAGATAGCAGCTATTGCACATGAATTAAAGTAAATTAATGATTCTTTATTATTAGGTATTATTGCTGTTTATTATAAATGTATAACATTTTTCATTATTTGTTCTCAGTTCTTTGGAATACCATGATAGTACAAGCGTAAATATACGCTGTCAACGTATTTGTGACCAATGGGACAGATTAGGTAGCTTGACACAGAAACGCAGAACTGATTTGGACGATGCAGAAAAAATATTGGAGAAAATTGATATATTGCATTTGGAATTTGCTAAGAGAGCAGCTGTAAGTACAACCAAAGAAATAGTCCTGAGTACTGGCTTAATGGACCATAAAACCAACATTTGTTGATTTTTTAATAAGTTATGAGTGATTAAAAACAAGATTAATTAAGTTAAATGCTATATTAACATGCAAATTCTCTGGATATTCTTCTTTTTAAATGTATAATAAGTCTCTTTGCCCTTAACTGAACTAGAGAATCATATACCTTTGCATGAGACAGAGAAATAAATCTTGGTTTTTCCTCTTAAGATACTTAAAAATGAATATTAATTATAATTTTCATATTAAATTAGCCATTCAACAACTGGTTGGATGGTACACGTGAAGATTTAGTGGACATGTTCATTGTACACACTGTTGAGGAAATTCAAGGATTGATTGATGCACATGGACAATTTAAGGCTACTTTGTCTGATGCTGACAAAGAATACAATTCTATCATTGGACTGGTCAAAGATGTTGAGTCAACTGTACAAAAATACCAAATACCTGGTGGTCTTCAGAACCCGTACACTACTTTGACTTCTAGTGTATGATTAATTTTTGTAATGCTCCATATTTTTAACATTAGTTTCATGCGTATTTGTATTCTGTATATAGGATTTAAGTAAAAAATGGTCTGAAGTGAAACATCTAGTGCCCCAAAGAGACACGACCCTCCAAGCTGAACTCAGAAAACAACAAAGTAATTATTAAAATGTTTTGCTGTAATTTATGTATGTGCCACATTGTTTTATAACTGATTTTGTTTTGCAGACAATGAGATGCTACGTCGTCAATTTGCGGAGAAGTCAAATCAAGTGGGTCCTTGGATTGAGAGGCAAATGGATGCTGTTACGGCCATCGGTATGGGATTGCAAGGTTCTCTGGAAGATCAATTGCACCAATTGAAACAATACGAACAGAATGTGTTTGCATATAAGCCACATATTGAGGAATTAGAGAAAATCCACCAAGCTGTACAAGAGGGTATGATCTTCGAAAACAGGTAGAGTCAAATGATTATTATTGCAACAAAATTTGCAAAATCCTATGAAAATAATGCATTGCTTGTAGGTATACTCAATACACAATGGAGACACTACGTGTTGGATGGGAACAACTATTGACATCCATAAACCGCAATGTGAATGAAGTAGAAAACCAGATATTGACCAGAGACTCCAAGGGTATAACTCAGGAACAACTTAATGAATTTAGGGCTAGCTTCAATCATTTTGACAAGAACCGTACTGGCCGATTGGCTCCTGAAGAATTTAAATCATGCTTGGTGTCAATTGGATATAGTATTGGAAAGGATAGACAGGTAGATAATATTTTGTTGTTGAAAGTATGTTTTTTGTATATACCTTAACACTGAGCTTATGATACACAGGGTGAGATTGATTTCCAACGCATATTAGCCGTAGTTGATCCCAATAGTACTGGATACGTACACTTTGATGCTTTCTTGGACTTTATGACTCGAGAATCCACAGATACTGACACTGCTGAACAAGTGATTGATTCGTTCCGCATTCTGGCAGGCGACAAGGTAGAATTAAATTATTTTGTGTAAAATATTAAGAATTTGTTTTTAATTTCACGTCAATTTCATTATAGCCATACATTTTGTCCGATGAACTAAGGAGAGAACTTCCACCAGACCAGGCGGAATACTGTATACAGCGCATGGCTCCATACAAGGGTGTCAATGCTGTACCAGGAGCCCTGGACTACATGTCGTTTTCAACTGCCTTATATGGGGAGTCGGATCTGTAAATCATCAATATTTATAAACAAACAAAAAAAAATAATAATATTTAAACGAGTAAAAAATAAATTACCAAGGTTTATTAACAACTAGATTATATCAAATGAAGAATAAAATTCATTATGAAATTCTTTAATTGGATCATATACTAGTCACATCTACTATTTACATGTCCGTCCGCGCGTCTCATTAATAACAAAATAATGAAAATCATATTTATTATTGCTTTAAACTTCTTAAAAACAATAAAAATGAAAAGGCATATAAAATGAAAAAAATACTCGGCCCCACGTATTACTTTTCAAAGAATTTTTATTTCTTAGATATAGAAGATATTTATTATGGGCTTATTAAAGAATATTTTATTTTTGGCCTTAATGTTTTTTTTTCTAATAATTTAATGAGAAATATATCAGTTTTTTTATGTTTTATTTATTTATTTATTGCCCTTAGAACAATTTAACATTTGACTAATCTTAAAATCTTCACACATATCTGCAGGACCAACTATCACCAAAACTATATATTGTATTATGTTCAAATTAATCTGTTGTTCAACTCGTTGTGTTGTGTTTTTCAAAGTTATGAAAAGTATTTAATTGTTTTGTCATAAGAGTACCAAAATATTCTTGCTCAACGCACATTTATTTTTGTACAATAAAATAGTTAACTAAAATTGAATATATTATATCATTTTCACCAGATACTTTGATACTTTTACTATGTTGTAGGCATATGTACACAAAACAATAATCATATTATGTAATTTTTTCGCGTAGGAATATCGCGTTAAAAAATCAGTCAATTGTTTTTTTTTTTCATTTTCTTTCTCTCGCTCTCGTGAACACCTTATTTACCATCGTTTTACCGCGAATGATAACTCTCATCTTATTTATTCTTATTGTATAGTGTGTATTTTATTTTTAGTTATTATTATTATTATTTTATTTTATGTATGATTATTATTATTGTGCGCGGAAAAAACATGATTTTTTTTTTATTTATTTATTTTTTTTTTTTCAAAATTGTATGTATTTTCCGTTGCGCATTCGCTGCTGCGTGTGTCACGCAACTTTGAGATGCCATAAGAGTAATATTTTCTCCCCCTCTACCGAATAATATATCTCTGTGTATTGTAAGTTTTAAGTTGCATAGGCGCAATGCCACACAATCGGTTGTGACAATTGTTCACTCATCTATCCCCACTCCCCCAGTCTTGAGAAATATTGTCTCTCGGAGATGTTTTAATCCAATTAAATTCCTATGTGAAATCTACGACAGAAGCGTGTATTTACAGTTAATCAAATAGTTGATATGTCAACGATGATGTTTACTAAACACATTGTAAAAAAAAAAAAAACAACAAAAATGTATTTATTTAAATATATACCCGTTGTGTTGTGAGAACTATTTAATTTTTGTTTTCATTTACTATATTATGTTCCTTATTAAAATGTCTTACAAAATATATCTACTACTGGAGTGGGGTACTTAATGAGCTCATAAAGTATGACCATCAAGAATCTGTACCTATTGTTGTGATACAGACCAAATTAAAACAGATCAGACTAAGTGGTTCTAAATTGTAGAGTTCTAAAAGCTAGCAAAACTACTCCACTTATCCCAGGGATTTTCATTATTAAAGAAAATTGTAATTTATAATTTATAAACTATGACAATTCAATGTTTATAATATTTTTAGAAAGGTATACCTATTCAGAATCCAGATAGATTCTGATATTCAGTATGTAACTAAACATTTAAAATTTTTATTTTTTTTTATTCGATAGAAATCGATAAAGATGGATATATTTTTATGTTTTAAAGTAACATATTTAAAATTGAAATGTATAAATTCATTAAGAGCACTTTACATACCCCTGTGTTGACTTCATCTAACAAACTTACAAAGTACCAAATTTTACAGTAAAATGCTCATTACTTGCTTTGTAATTAAAATATCAATAAAAGCCTTCGTGACGCCCTAGATTAATATTTTACCTTTAAATTTTATAACTGGTCACTCTAATTTTAAAAATAACAGTAAATAAAATGGATTATTGTCCATTGTTGTGATTATTGTTATTATAGAATTTTTTATTAATTTTAATATTATTGGAACACCTAATAAGTACTTACTATTCTAAATCATAATTTTTTATGGTAAGTATTTTTCAATAGGTTTTTAACATAATATTATCAATCTACTTTATCCCCAAAATATACTTATCATAAGCTACTTGTGTTACTACTTACAGCCTACTGGTAATGTAAGAAGGTACCTCTACCAAACATTTTAACAGTCAATTAAACTAAGTTCTTTAGTTAATTTGAAAATGAACTTACTAGTTAAGGTTTTAAAGAAATAATAACTTTTTAACTAGGTTTGTATTGCCGAAATTTATCATAGGTACATAATATTATACACAAAATTATTTTTATATTTTAAAAATAAGTAGCATTTTTAAAACTTTGATCTTCAATATTGAGGATGGTTTTTGATATAAAAATGTGATACAAGATTCCTTTATAAGTTTTTCTACATATAAGAAAAAAGTTATAAGTATATAGTCTTAGGTATATTAAATGTTGATGTCTATTTTATTGAAATAAATTAAAAACTTAATGAATTAAAAATAAAAATTGTGGTAAAAAATAGTAAAAAGTAAATGACACAATTGTATTGGAATTTGTGGTTTTGAATTTCTTTTAGACGACTATAAACTATAAAGCTTATGAGTTGTACTTATAGAATAAACGATGAGTGATAACCTATTCATTTATTGAGCTATTGAAGTAATTATTATGCTATATTTTTTATGTTATTATAATCAACGAATAACGGCATGTATTGCTTATATTAAAACTTATAGCCAGAGTTCATATTGATAAAACGCATACCAAGACAACTCATGACTTACCTGGTTTTTAACTTTTCAATTGATTTGTGCATGAATATGATCATTTTTGGGTAAATGAAATAAACTTAATCTAGATTCGTCAACTTTACATTTCATCATAATATATTGGATGGAGCACAACACGTCATGAGTGTAGTGCCGTAAAAATAAAGCGTGGTATTTAAAATAATGGCAAATTACTTCCAAACGATTTAACGATCACATATTCACACGGCGTCGGCTATCTATGTATAATGTTTAATTTAAACTAAGTACCTACTTGGAAACCAAAAAAAAATATTAATTAAAAAATAACAAAATTTAATTGTTACATTGACGAATCATTACCAACGAAATGTACTGTACCTACTACCTAGGTAGATATATTCGAAGTTTCGGTTAATAAGAACCAGTGTTGTCGTTCATTATTAATTAATTTAATTCATTGCTATCGTCTTCTGTCGTTTTATTGCTTATAATGATAATTATTAATTATTTTTGTCAATTTCGTGTGTGCTGTGCACAGACTTTTACTTCCGCTGACTAGTCGTTGGTGACGTTGATGTGTACGGTATTAGTTTTAAATGTAATTTTCCAAATTCTGATTTCTTGTTATATACCCACTATACCCGCCACGACGAAACTGAAAATATAAAAGTAGCCAGTAGGTACAGTGGTAATATCGTTGGTTACTGGGGTTTTTTTTAACCACAATATGATAAAACACTGTTGACTTTTAAAGTTTTGGCTGAGATACGATTGAGCATAAAACACCCTTTTTGCGACACGATTGAGCCAAATCGTCGGCCTATCAAATTAAATTGGAATACAAAAAAATCCTACACGATTGAGCTTAAAAAACTCGGAAACGTTGCCATTTTTCATTTTAAACTATATTACCTATACAAAAATATTTATTTAAATAATTATAATAATTCAAAATATAACATATCAAAAGAAACCCATGATTTTATAGTCAATAATATAGTCACATTTCATAAATCTGTTTGATAATAATAGTTATGAAAATAATAAAATCAAAATGTGGTTCGAGTTAAAAAAAAATACTGCATGGTTTATAAGTCAAGAATACTATAGACTATAGAGTATGGGTGATCGAGCACTGGTATTACATCTGTAATAATTTTGGAATTGCATCTTAATTTATTATTATCTTATATTTTCCCCCAATTTTAAATGTTCAAAACGTCAGAACTTTATTGCTCTGCGGTCCACATATTATTATTTATTATTGAATATTCTGTGAAGGACGCAAATAGCCATATACTATATTATTATATTTGTTTTTGTGTCAAATTATTTATACAGGCACAGGTAGCAAGCTTGTGAGTTCTTATACACATTATTATTATAGTTTTTACGAGCTTACTGCTCAAACGACGGTAGCTCTACCTATATTTTATTTTGTTGGGCCAGGAGGGCCACATTTGTTATACGTATTGTGCTGTCTTGGCTTACGGGCCGTGCTTAATTATTATTATATCTATTGTAATTTTACTGCAATACAGCAATTTAAATACCGTTATGTTTTAGTTACCATTTTTCTGAGTTACTTTTCTGTTGTTAGTTTTAAGCACACGCCCACACATACATACACACATTTACACACCCACCACACACTAGCATTTGATAGTTTTGCTCAGCGAAACCGTCCAGTGGCGTATTTAGGAATTTGTCATGGGGAGGGTCCAGATAATTTTCAGAACACAGAGCCAAGGGGGACGAAGCCCCCCACACCACCCATTTACTCTTTATTAAATAAAATATACCATATTTATAAGACGATATAAAATTGTCGAGTTTTTAATTATTAAATAATAATATGTACAAAACAAATTTAAAAAAAAGCGGGTGAGTGGATGTCACTCTGCTGCTGTACAGTAGGTTACAAGTGGGTCAATGTATAATGGATTGTATTAAACTTGAACTCAATGATATAATATCATAATATCATTGTATAAGAAAAACGATTCTGAGCGAAGACGGTTTGTCAGTCTGGATATTTTATATTGTTATTATTTATTATAGCATGTTAGTTGAATTAATAATGAAATACTTTTATTTTTTATTTTTTCTATGGTGATAGA